CCACAGGTTGTCTTCTCAACGCCACATTTGCACAGAATAAATGACTAGGGCTGGGGGATAACTCAGTGGTTAAAGAGTACTGTCTACTCCCACACCCACATACCAGCTTAGAACTCTTACTAACGCCAGTTCCAGGGGATCCGACACCTTCTTCTGGCCTTTGTGTGCAGCACACATAGATATGAAGCAAAATAAAAATAAGTTTTCAAAATACAGAAAAACAAATACCGATTGAAAACCTTGCCATTTCCTCTTTTACCGGGGTGCACCTGAAGCTTTTCTGGTCCTAGGAGGAGAGAAGTGGGACTTGTTGGCAAAGCTGGCCGAGGTCAGAACCTTACTGGTGGTGAAGGTTGCAGGATCCAGAGACTAGAAGTGGCTTCAGTGGCGGAAGCCTTTCTTTCTCAGCATGTGTCAGGCCCGAGGTGCCATCCCAGCACCACAAGAGAGTAGTCTCAGCTGGGCTCCGTAACCTCCGCGCTCAGGAACCGAAGGACTGCTGCGCATTTGCCAGGCCAGCGTGGGCTGCTGGGACCACAGCCTGACGGGAAGTAGCGTAAAGGAGGAAGGCTTGTGTGGGCTCCACAGTTCAGGGTACATGCGGGAAGGCTTGGCAGCAGGTGCATACAGCAGCTTGCTTCTGTCTGAGCAAGCCAGGAAGCAAAGGGGACACAGGAAACTACAGAGTCAGGCTGTAAACCTCAAGGACTTCCTCCACCTTGGCCTACCTCCCAAAGGTTCCTCAGCCTCGGGCCCGGTGCTCAGATACATGTGCCTAGTATGTGTGAGCAGGTGTATGCAGGTTCACAAACACCAAGGCCGGGGGTCGACATTAGGTGTCATCCTCCTTTGTGACAGAAGCTCTCATGTGCTCTGGCACTCTGCAGCTTGGCTGGGCTGACTGGCCATTGAGCTTCAGGAATTCACCATCCCCAGCACCTGGGTGACAGGTGCATGGCACCACACTTAGCTTTTTATGTGAGTGCTATGGATCCAAACTCAAGTCCCCTCCCTTTGACGATAAGCACTTTGCCTACTGAGCCATCTGCCCGACCCACCAACGGGGATATTTGAATTCCAGACCGTAACAACTCTGGTGAGACCCTGCCTCCAAAGGAGTGTGCTGACCCATGAGAGGCAGCCATGAGGACCGGGGTTTCTTTCCTACAGCAGCCTTGGCTGTACAGCAAGTTTGAGGCGAGTCTGAGCTACATGAGACCCTATCTCAAAATAAATAAATAAATAAAAATAACCCTGGCTGCCAGTCTGCTCAAGAGTCACCAGCAGGGCCAGTCACTCATTTGGTCTGCATCTTTGTAGGAAGCACAGTCTCTCTTGATGGTGGAGAGGACAGCGGAGGCAACATTCACAAAAGGAAAAGGAAAAAGAAGAAGAGGAGCCACTTCCAGGCTGAGACTGAGGACCTGGATACTGTTGCCATGCCCCCAGCACAGAGTGCTGATAGTGAGCCTGACACTGCCCGGAGGCAGACCCCACAGGCCTGTGTGACTGGACCTGCAGCAGACGCCACGTCTAGCATCAGAGAGAACAGCCCCGAGCCAACACCCATCGTACCCATACACAATAAAAGGAAACGGCCAAGAAAGAAGAGCCTGAGGGCCCACAGAGAGACCTGGAAACCTCAGGAGGATGTGTCAGAGAACGACCCTATCAGTGGCCAACCTCAGAGCTCTGCCACCCAAGCTTCCTCCTCAGGTGTCCAAGCCCAGAAGAGGAAACGGAAACTCGGAGCTCTCCCTATCAGCAGTGGCGGCTTGACAGTGCAGAAGGCAGGCACCCCCATAAGTCCCGGGGAAGAGAGAGATGGCCAGACCACCCTGCCCCAGTGCAAAAGGCCACAGAAGAAGGCAGTGTCCAGCAGTCTTGACCTCTGTGATCTGTCCAGTCAGAAAACAGCAATCTTAAAGAAGAGGAAAAAAATGAGACAGACGTCAGACTTCGTGGAGCACAATGGAGTGCTGGAGTCCAGCGCCGGGTGGACCCAAGCTCCGGTAAGGTGGGAAGTGCAGGCGCTTGGGTGCTGGGCTTGAACGGGTGTCCTCAGAGGACTCCGCGGTCTGCTAGGGGCAGGGCATAGGGACAGCCAGACCTCAGGGAAGCGACAGCCAGCATACACTGCTTTGTAACAGCTCTCACGGAGCAGATGACAGGTTTCTGTCCAGGTGGCCAAGTGCAGTGATCCATTCACACCATACTCCCCACCTCTTCCCTCACAGACCTGATGATGTCTCATCGGGTCGGACGGGTAAGCACGGAGCTGAGACCCTGTCAGTCAGGCCTCCACCCAGAGCTGCTCTGTCCCCTGCCGCTGCCCATCCAGCCCCTGTGGCAAAGAGGGAGCCTGGGCCTCTTACACTTGAAATTGATGAACAAACGTTCTTTCTCGGTGAGCTTCTAGAGCTGTAAAGGAGGACCGGGCTCTTGAATTTTGCCATGTCTAGGAAGCACACTGCCTCTGTGCCCGGGTCAGCACGTATGGTAAACACACCACACCATGTGCTCATTGCTGTGGCCACCAAGCCACCAAAACAGTGACTCCCTGGCTTTTCAGGGAGACATCTGACCCTGTTCAGCACCGGTGCTCATACACACTGCATTGCAGTGTCTGTGACATTGAAACCTATCTCTGACCAGCTGAGTTCATGGCTGATCAGGGATTACTGAAGGAGAGCAGAGCACTGGGCTGGCCTTGGGATGTCATCTCAGCCTCCACCCTTGCCCTGGCAGAGGCACCTCCTTCCTTCATAGCCTGTTTCTCACGCCCTTGGCAGCCGAGCTTGGCATTGGAATGATTGCTAACTAGTTGGAGCCAAGGGAAGTCGCTGCTGTCTGCTCCTGGGCTAGGGTTGCTTTGGGGCATGCCAAACGGCATCATGCTGCAACAAGGGAGGCACCAAGCTCCAGCCAAACAGCCCACGTGGTGATGCCACACTCAGCTGCCCAGATGTGGCGACCCCCAAGCCAAAGCCTGGTAGCAGCCTTCTCCTCCGCACCACACTTGCCGCCCATGTAGTGTCTGATCACAAATAGAAAGACGAGTTCTCACCTCACAGGTAGACCTTGAAAGGAAGAATTCAGTCTGTAGGACCTGTGTTAGAATGCAGTTACCAAGAAGCTAACGGCCTTGACTGCCGAGAAGACACTGTGACCCCTGCCGGCATGGTGCCGAGAAGTCTGCTCCGCTGAGCAGGAGGGTTCCAGGCAGAGCTGCAGAAACAGTGGGCTGTGGGCCAAGGGCCTTAGGGTGCGTCAGCCTCCAGCACCCCCTTTGCTGTGCTGTCCTGGTTTCTTTCCCTGTGGGTGTGAGCCTGGTGAGGTGCCACACCACGCCTGTGATAAGATCCTCCTCCCTCCCGGCTGCTCATCCTCACAGGGAAGCAACAGGACTCCGAAGAAGCCACTGAAAACGGAGGATGACTTTGTGAAGTTTGACACCCGCTTCTTACCAAAGCCCCTGTTCTTCAGGAAAGCAAAGAGCAAATCTGCCGTCCTTCCCCAAGGTCCTGCTGTCCAGGTGAGCCCTCCACAGCACACCTCCACGGGGCCATGTAGACAGGTGTACTGAGTTCTGGGGTGCAGTGATGAATGCTACCTAGCAAGATGCTCCGGGGCGCGGCAGAGCCCAGCTTCCTCGCCTGACCCCCTGCACGTGGATGTATAGGTGGGGTAAAGTAGCAGCAATCTCAAGAAAGAGGCACAGGGTTCTAGGAAGGGCTCAGCCCGAGCTCTTATAGTACAGAATGGGTTGGCTTCTAGGAACATCTCAAGTAGAAAGGCTCACCATTAATTCTGATAGGTTGTTGGGATATCTAGATAATTTGAGGCCCTTTGCACAAAACATTGGGAATGTTGGTCTGTGGTGGGGTCCCAGGTGTAGATGTAACCAACCGTCTTATTAAATAAGAAACACAGAACCAATGTAAAAGAGAAAGCCAAGAGATCAGAGCTCAGAGCTAAAATCTCACCCTTCCTCCTGCGGTGGTCCTAGCTTCCCGAAAAAGAGCTACTTCCTGTGTGTATGTCTTTTCATAGTATTTTGTTCTGCCTTCTCATTGGTTGTAAACCCAAACACGTGACTGCCTCGTCACTGTCTGAATGTACAGCCCCCTAGGTCTTAAAGGCATATGTCTCCAATGCTGGCTGTATCCCTGAACACACAGAGATCTATGGGATTAAAGGCGTGCGCCACCACCGCCTATGTCTATGGCTCTAATAGCTCTGACCCCCGGGCAACTTTATTTATTAACATACAATCAAAATCACATTTCAGTACAATTAGAATACCACCACACCCAGGGGTGGAGCATTTGCTCAGCATGTATCATGGCCTTGGGTGCTCTCTCCAGCAAAGATTTTACATGCATATCCATTGCCCATTGAAATTAGACCCCATTTTAAGCCTAATCTAAACAATTGTATGTGAGCTACAAGTTGCAGCTTAGAAATTCTGGGCCTGCTAGATGGCTAGGCTGGGTAAAAGGACTTGCCACCCAAATCTCACAGCCTGAGTTTAATCCCCAGAGCCTACGATGGAAGGGGAGGACTCTTGTCCTCTGACAGCCACACACAGACCATGTCACATGCACACCCACATTCACACACACCATACACACTAATAATAAATAGCCTTTCCAAAATCCTGGGACAAAATGAATGGTGGTTATTAACATATATCCTTGTAATTTGGGGTCATAAATTTGTAATTCCAAACATCTTCATCCTTCTTTGCATTTTATTTATTTATTTTTATTTATTTATTTATTTTGCTGTGAATATAGTGTCTAGTCTGGGAAGTCTATGCATGTGCGAAAGTGGTTTGTGAAGGTCATGGGCAGGAGTTGGTGGTGGAGTCTGTTTAGGCCACAGCATGCTGTCCCATTAGCCTTTGTATGTGTGCAGGTAGGAAACACTGCAAGGGCCTGCCCTGGGTAAGTTCAGAAAAATCCAGACAAGGCGGCTGAGCACCTGTGTTACCATGGTTACTCCTTTGTTGTTCCGCAGCTGAATAAAACACCCTCCAGCTCCAAGAAAGTCACCTTTGGATTGAACAGGAACATGACTGCAGGTGAGTGGGTGGGCTTCTGGGAAACTGCGTTGGGACCAACCAGCTAGAGCTGGCTCAGGGTTCTCCAGCAGCCAGAGGTCCTCTTCTCCCTGTCTGCTCCCGGGTCAGGCAGTTAGGCAGTGCCAGAGTCTCTTGCCTCACAGATCTGACATGGATTGCCGAGGGAGGGAGAGATTTCAGGGCCATTGTTTTGTTTTGTTTTGTTTTGTTTGTTTTTGAGACGGGGTGTCACCATGTAGTTTTAGCTGTGTTGGAGCTCATTATGTAGACCAGGTTGGCCTCAAACTCACAGATCCTCCTGCCTCTGCCTCCCAAATGGTGGGATTAGAGGCAGGGAGAAATTTCTTGGGGCCTCCTGAGGCCACTAGGAAAAGGGTGAGGTGAGAAGCCATTTTTCTGGGTTTTCTCTAGTTCTGTCCTTGAAGCTAAGAAACCCTGGTTCCTTAGTTCTAGTTCAGGGCCACTGGTGGACCAGAGGGGAGAGGAAGGAAGAAGCCCTCTCCTGCTGGCTTGGTAACAGTGCTGCCCACTAAGTAGTAGGACTGTTGCTACTATTACTTCAAAGAAACCAAAGGACTCTCGTTAGAACGTGGTGCTTGCTTAGTTTAGGTGCCTGTCCTAGATCTTGCTCTGTAGACCAGGCTGGCCTCAAACTCACAGAGATCCTCCAGGCTCTGCCTCCTGAGTGCTGGGATTAAAGGTGTGTGCCACCACCACCACCACCACCACCACC